GCTAGTGTAAAATTTGAATATTTTAACAAGCTCTAATCAAAATTTAAGTTTTTTTTATATTCTTAAATAGCTCTAACAATTAATTCACACGCTAATGTATTCTTATCAACATAAATAGTCTAAGAGTATGATGAATTTAAGTAGTTAATAGTTATTGGTTTGAGGTTTTCTTGTAAACTCGATTTAAGTAGAGGCGTCATTAATGACTTCTTTAGATAAACTAATGAAAGCGTTCTAGCACTTCTTTTATTATTTCTATATCTCTTAAACTTTTCTTATTCATAAATTATTTATGAAAGTGATTTAGTATGTCCTCTATAAGATGTATTACTACGCTTTAATATAGGTTTTTATGGTAATTCAATACCTGCTTCTTTTTGATCATCATTTATTTCTAGAGTTGCTTCATTTTCATTAACTTCACTTAGACTACTTTAATTATTTGTTCTTATGAGGCGATCTAATTTGATATTTAACTCTGAATCCTAACTACTTTTGATCATGTTGGTAACGTTTGAAGCTTGATCCTATTATTAGCATTCTTAATATAGACCTTCAATATCATTCCAATCGAATTCTTTACTATTTTATTCTTTTGATGAACAAGTGCTTTTTGATTAACTGTTCCATTTTATTGGTTTTTTATACATTTGCAAATAAAAATTGTCCATTAAAAAAATAAATGACAATAATTTATATTTCATTCACATATTAAGATACTTAGTATATAAATTCATGTCTAATATAAACTCTGTAAAACATAATATTTATAATTCTTGAAAATATTTATTCTTTAAGCAAACGACTTTTGATAAATATGTATACATAATTGTATATAATTTATAGCTATTTAATTATTAAAATAATAATTAAGAAATGGATAAATTGTAATAATTAATTTAAGAGTTCTTCAATGTTTTAGAATAGAATTTCTTTCTTTCTAGAGAATTTAATAAGATTTTCATATCTCATGAGAATATGAAATAAATTGCATAAGAAAAGAAATATTCTGAATTGACAATCAAATTACTTGAATTTATTTTATCAATTCATAAAAGCAATTAACATTCTGTACTTTAAGATAGGATTGCTTAAACATAAAAACTCTTAAAAAATTACCATAGTTAAATTAATTAATCATAAAAAAAGGAAATTTAACCATAAAACTAGATCACTGACATTCCAGCCATTAACAATTATAAAAGTAATCCAGTTACACCTCGTAATGTCTAAGTTGATTAAATATAAACATAATTTTTACAACTTGAGAAGAGACAAAAGTCACATTAAAATCCAAGTAAAGGAATGACAAAAGGAACACCTAATAGTTCATCTTAGTAGAGATTTTTTGTGGAAGATATTCCTAAAATGGGGAAATCTCATGTCAAAGATGATTAATAAAGGAATTATAATATAATAACTGGTGTGTGAAGACAAATTGAATAAAATGAAAGTTATAAGAAACATTAAATCAAATTTATAAGAATCTCATCTATAAAATTTAATAATATCAACATACATAAATTATTTATATTAAAATATATTGATATCAATTAGAATTATACAAATGATGACCTAGTTTTAAGATTACTAACACTATTGTTATTAATATCCAAATTTTGGATGTTCGAATACTTCTAATGTCATCAAATTCAGCCTCTGATCCAAAAGCCCATTCAAGTATTTATTGATATAAAGGATATTACAATTATCCTATAACTATATCCCCTGATTGAAGAAGAAGCATGATTTCTGAATAAAGATTTTTATTTAAAATTGTAAAATCAATTATAGTATTTTTATGAATGCATTATTTAAAATCTTCTAATTTTAGGAACTCTATAAACTTAAGATAAATAAAATACAAATTTATTACTAGTAATCTCTATTCTATTACACAGTAGATAAATTAAGATAATAAAATTAATTAGAATCACTTATATAATTATATGTTTAGACTAATAGGTTATAACTATGAAGTTTAAGTTTGACTATCCTATTTTTTATTCCAATTTCTTTTGTCTAAGTATTCAGTTTAATAACTTCATATCTCTATTAAGAAAATTAACAAGGTCGTATAAAATAATGCTAAGTACCATAAATAATATATATATGATCTTCCATACTTTCATATTTTATTGATTCTTTCCAATTTGTTTTAAATGATGAATCATACTAAAATAAGTATGAATTATCATACAATGTTTGTTACTTCCTCTTAATAGATAATGCTTGATGATCCAAAACCTGAGAATACTGATAGTTAATAATGTATGATTGATATTTTGATCGATTATTAAAATTCATCGAGAATTATTACAATTAAATTTAGAATATCTGTAGATTTATTTAATGAAGTTTCAAAAGGTATGTTAATAACCTGTTGTCCTTTGTGAAAGATGTGAAAAGTTTATAAAAATTAAATATCTAATTTTTTAACATAGCTAAAACAAAAAAATCATTTACTTTAAAACTGAAATGTATTCGATGTCAAATGTATTACTGATGATAAGTAATTAATTATTTGATTAATAAAAATTTAGAGTTCTATTTTATTAAATACATTCAAATTTATTAATTGATTTATCTCTGTAGACATAATGGATCGTGTTTTATTCATGTATCGTAGTTATATATAAATTTTAATTCATAAATTATGATTTATAATATTCTCCTAAATAGATGGATTGAAAAACGAGATTAATCTTGACCAATTTATTGAATCCATAAAATTCTACATCAAAAATTTCTTCGTCATCTATTTGATATACACTTAAAACTGTTTAAGTAATGTACTTGTACAATTGTTATAGTCAATAATGTAAATAATATTATTGTTCAGATGTGCATCTATCGCGCAGTCTATATGATACTAAAATAGGATTGATTCATCTTATAAGTATTTAAGATAAGAGCACTCATTATCGAATTGTCTAATTTATTAAAAATGGGATTTAATTTGATAAATAAGAGTATGTTGGTTTTCAATCTAAATTTGATTGTTAATAGGTTCTCTAAGACTGGTGCCATAACGATAATAGAAATAGATGAGAGACTATTTAAATTCAATTCGATTAAAGGTTTCAATGATAAGCACAATTAAAGCTCCAATTAATTGAATTATAAACATAAAATAATGTAATAAGTAATTCCAGCACCAAGAGTTTAAGCAACCTAACCATATGCAGGTTAAAAGCCAGGTACTTCAGGTTTACGTAAGAAGGTTAGTGAGGCAACTTAACCGCATTATCTAGAGAATTTTGTGTAAAGCATTTTCAATACATTACGTAAAGATGAATTAAAGCGTATCTAATATTTTATAGTCTGTTTAGCTAAAAATGTTTTATTTGTTGGTGGAGATGGAAGATACTATAATAGATAGGCCATTTTTTCAATAATTCGTTTAGCTTATGCAAATGATATAAGTGAAGTACACATAGGTTAAGGAGGTTTAATGTCAACACCTGCATCTTCCCATTATATTCGTAAAGTAAATGAAGAAGTTGGAAATTGCATTGGAGGAATAATTCTTACAGCATCTCATAATCCTGGTGGTAAAGAACATGGAGATTTTGGAATTAAATTCAATGTAAGAACAGGTGCTCCTGCTCCAGAAGATTTTACTGATTAAATCTATACTGTAATTATATTCATTAAATATATTTAGCATACAACTAAAATTAAAGAATATTTAACAGTAGATTATGAATTTGAGAAACATATAAATTTAGACTAAATAGGAGTTTATAAATTTGATGGGACTAGATTAGAGAAATCAAGTTTTGAAGTTAAAATAATAGACACAGTTAAAGATTATACTGAATTGATGTAGAAGTTGTTTGATTTTGATTTGTTAAGAACTTTATTCTAAAATAAAGGTAAAATTAATTAAATATTAAATAATAAGATTTTTCATTTCGATTAGATGGAATGCATGGTGTTGCAGGACCTTATGCTAAACATATTTTAGGCACTTTATTAGGATGTTCAAAAGAATCTTTATTAAATTGTGATCCATCTGAAGATTTTGGTGGTGGTCATCCAGATCCAAATTTAACTTATGCTCATGATTTAGTTGAATTATTAGATATTCATAAAAAGAAAGATGTAAATACAGTTCCATAATTTGGTGCTGCATGTGATGGTGATGCAGATAGAAATATGATATTAGGTAGATAATTCTTTGTAACACCATCTGATTCATTAGCAATATTAGCAGCTAATGCTAATTTAATATTTAAAAATGGTTTATTAGGTGCAGCTAGATCTATGCCAACTTCAGGAGCTTTAGATAAGGTTGCATTAAAAAATGGAATTAAATTATTTGAAACACCTACAGGATGGAAATTCTTTGGAAATTTGATGGATGCAGGATTAAT